CAACCATACGGTTCTCGCCGACCTCTCCACCTTGCCGTTCCATCACCCTTTTTCCTGGAAATTGAGGTAACTGAAAACCAATGTCGAAGTGTTAGTATATATAGTACTTTGTTCATTTATTAAAGCTTATGATTTACTACTTTCAAACATGTTTTAGAGCACGTTAAACTAATGTTTTTTACAAGCTTGCTTCAACCGTATTTTTAGAACATTTAAAACCATCTATTAATCTATTTACAAAATCAAGTAATTTGCACAGCAGATTTTATAAACACTTAACATCGTTTTTACCACGTTTTTTTTGCGCATGCCTAACCTTATTTAGAGGACATTTGTTATATAATCAGGGCGAGGAGTTGTCTAACTTTACTTAGGGGTACGTCATAAATCAGAGGTCAACATTAGTTTGTTTTTGACTTTTGAGGGGTGTTGGAGGGGTCTCCAGTTTCCCTATTCTAACACGCATGCATATTGAGGCCTGAGGCTTAGCGCGTAGATATCTACACTTCTTCACAGATGTTACAGATTTTCTTCAGTACATCCAATTGGGACAGCAACTTCCACCAGTTTGGTGTGGCAGGAAGTGTACGCACTGCATTTTGCAGTGATGCCGAGTTCCCGGAGGCGAGATGGAGACGGTTCCCGACCGCAGCTGGATCCCAAAAGCAAGACACCAAAACACTAGCCAGTTGAATATATAGCCAGTTGAATAGCCATCAAAATACAGGAACCCCCGTTCAGGGTCCTTGCCAGGCTGTTTGTGGGCCCTCATTGCGGTTGACTCTATGCTTGCTCGTCTCTCTCTGTTTCATTCGATTTCTCCTGACGTGTAGCTTGATCAATCCGAGTGACTTTTGCGGGCACTACGACAAAGGTGGGTTCAAGACGCTGAAGGGTACAGACAGAGGATTTGTTGCATGTTGATGCATGTTGCATGATTTACCAGTTACTAGTTACAAAGTACAACCCTTTATTAACTTTTGTTTTGCTTGAAGCCTTCTCAGTTGTTTCAAGCCTTCTTAACTGATTCTTGAACCTCAACAATCCACCTTGGCCAATGGACTTTCATTTGTGCAGACAGAGTTTGCAGCGGCCACGGCAAAGCTGGCATTGCTACAGAGGTTGGGCCCGGCTGTTTCTTCGGGGACAGGGACTAGATGTTCAAGTGGCTGGAAGACCTGACAGAATGGAATTCAGAAAAGATCAGAAAAGCCATAGCTTTTGTACAGATTTGATGTTGGATCAACATAGACCCAGTTGCCTTTGAGGGTGGTTGAGGCAGCTTCCGTTTGGTGCCAAAGGGGTTCAGGTATGTCTTGGTGTATATAATGCACTTGCATGCAAACCGCATTGATCTTCATGATGTTCCTGCCACCGCAGCTGAGCATGCCGACAGCCGAGTGTGTAGCCGAACGACATGGCATCATTGGAGCTCGCCAAGCTTCCATCGTCCAAGTTCTGGCCAGAAAACGCTGAAGAGGAAGTGCGTGAGAAGACTCACAGTTTCTGCGCTCCAGTGCAGAATTCAAACAAAGTGAACTTGGTGAACTTGGAGTACCTCCAAATCCTTCGCTATTGGGACGACGATTTTGGGCTTCACCCAGGCAGTCCTTTGTGGCATGGAGCCAGCAAGATGATGATCAGGAATGTGCCGGCTAGATGCGCGCAAGCAGAAATCGAAGACATGATTTCCTCCGTGATGCCAGATTTCAAGCTGCAAATGCCGCGGGCGTCAGATCGCAAATGCAAAGGTTATGCCTTCGTTGATTCTCTCTTGAATTAGTCAAGATTCCTTACCAGTAAGTAGCAAGTCAGGAATTTGCAATTCACCTCGCGTTTGAGCATCCGACACGCGCGACTCCCACAAAAATCATGTGTCGCAAGCCCTCTCCGGCCAGGCCGCCGGCTAAGAAAGAATAGACACACGAAGAGCCGAGATGTGACACGTCAGCGAAAGTCGAATGAGATATTTTGCAGATGTGTTTCCTGAAGCAAGGCCCCAGCGAAAGCTACACCAGATAGAGGCAGCGCCCCAGCGACAGCGACAATGCCCCGCTAGTGCGAAGCTAATCAGCGGTGCCCAGCAACACAAAGCAATCTACTGCGTGCACATCTACAGTGGCAACTGTGCAACTGCAGGAATGCAGCATCTAGAATAGCTGCAGATGTACTTGTGGCAGACCTGCAAACTGCAGATGCAAACAAAAAACACAGCAAGAAAATACAAAAGAGAAAACAGGGAGACAGAAAGGAGACAAATGACACATCTTGACACATACCCTCCGAAACGCTGTGTGAGATAACGCACAAACAAGTTTCTCTTATTCTACCCAGGACCCTTTCCTTGCTCCCCACAACCTCTGATGAACCATGTTGGGAGATTGTGCATGTCGAGTGCTCAAGCGTGGGATGAAATACGAAAACCTTTGCGGGGATCGTGCGCGTCGATCGTTCAAACGTGATGTGAAATGGGAATTTGTTCGGCCGCCGTGAGCCTTGTGCGGAGATCGTGCGTGTCGAGTGTGTCACTGTCGTCGCAAATCAAGGTGAAAAGTTGCCAAAGTGTGTCTGTGGTTGAAAACCAAGGTGGAAGTTGTCAATGTGTTTAACTGTCGTCAAACATGAATGTGGACATAGGTGGACTTTGCCAAAGTGTGTAAACGTCGCCGGCTGGCAACCTTGTAGTACAGATGTAGCCGGGGCGCAGCTTCTGGCCTCAGAACTGGCAACCTTACACATGTAGAGCGGAAGCAACTTCTGGGAGCAGAACTGGCACCTTTGTAGCGCAAATGTAGCGCAGCCTTGGCGCTGCGGCCTCAGAACTATGTAGCGCGGCAACTTACACATGGTGCGGGAAGCAGCTTCTGGGAGCTTGGTGCTGCCTTTTTGAATGTGGCACACTGTGTGGCGCTAATTGTGTTGTCGCTGTGCCATGCAGTTTTGCGCGGCCTCGGTGGAAAGTGCGTTCGTGGCTCCGTGCCATTAGGGAAACGAACAGCGCTTGCGTAAACGAGGCGTGTCGCCGGGAAGCAGGGTGATTGGGGGTGGTCCGCAATCTGTGGCACACAGTGGGGCAAAATTACGTTTGTGATGTCGCTGTGCCATTTGCGTGGCTCCGTGTCATTGGGAAACGACAAGCATGCGTGCGTAAACGCGGCATGTTGCTGGGGACCAGAAGAATGCCTAACAAGTGTCCCACAAGAATGCCTTACAAGAGTGTCCCACATCCCGTACAGTGTCCCATGGAAAGAGGGTTTTCACAACTACCTTGCAAGTGTCAAGCAAGAGTGCCTTACAAAGAGTGTCACGCAAGAGCGTCCTGCAAAGGTGTTTTACAAGAGTGTCCACAAGAGTGTCATACGAGTGTGTCTTACAAGAGTGCCAACGATGCGACAAGTAACAAGTTAAAAATGCGTGATCAGCACGCATTGATACAAAATGTAAAACACACTGAACAACAATCAGCGGAACTTATACATGCGTGTGTCTAAACGCTCCCGGGCCACTTGTCGTGTAGTTTTCCAATTGGTGGGTTTGTTGGGGAGGCAGTGCGCCTGCCTTGCAGCAGTTTGTCTTAACAGCCGGAGGTTCTCTAAGCGACACGGTCAACGCAGGTGAACGGCCCATCTGCCTTCAGGTCACTGCGAGACTCTAATCACGTACACCCGAACATCTGCACTGACTTGTGCTGTGTCAGAATCAAGAGCCAGTGCTTTTGATATACAGGGGAAGTGGACAATATGTCGTGCCGGTTCCTCCCGTTCCCTCAAACCATTGCCTTAAATAGTCTTGCACTGCTTTCTAATTACTACTTTCAAGATGTTGCCCTCAAAATCGGTAACTTCTAGCATTTGAAGGCGCAGGGATCTTGTGTTTCAGTGTGTTACTCCGGAAGGTTGCTCGCAAACTCACCCAGGCTTCATTCATGCGCTGTGGCCACAGTGGGGCCACTGTGACCCCCACGCACTTCAGTGTGCTCAATTCAGTGACATCCCATGTATTGATATGTATTGAGCAGCCGAGGAACAAATTTCACGCACGAAAAACATCAAAACACAGTCCTTTAAAATCATCTAAGGGTCTCAAACTCTTGGTCAGCAGTTCTTTTTCAAACGCGCATTTGATTGACCCTACCAGATTGAAGAAGTGCTTTTCTTCTTTCAGGAACTTGGTGACCACCTGGGTGACCGACGAATGAGACGCTTGGCAGCTTTCTTGTGGCAGAGGCCTGTGCCCACGAGACAAAGTTCTCGAACCTTGAAGATTCATCCAGCCGAGCTTGAGGCCTGGACCCGACAGGAGCTGTGTGAGTTTCACTGGACCCACAAGACTTAAAAGGATTTGGAGGCGCGAGGCCAAGCCAAGTGGAGGTCTTTGCATATTTGTTGCCAGGAATTTTGGTACTTGTATTGCAAAGGTAGATTTGTACGGAATGTAAGCGAGACTGGTGCATACTTGTAGAGGACATAAGCTTCACATAGCTTCACCATGAAGAGTTCTTTAGCTTTTTGTCATCGTCATGCCAACAGCTCGGCTTTACTCTCGCCGCTTAAAGTGCCAACAAGTGCTAACACCAAAACCGTAGAAGATGGTAGAACGAGTACCAGCAAGGTCCCAGGAGGTTTCTCTGCAGTGTCAACTCGCTACTTGCGAGGTGATGAATGTCAACTGTGTACAATTTCAGTGACACCCGGCGATCGCTGTATGACTCGTCAATTCATGGGACCGCAGGCGATGGGACCCGTTTCACTCCTAGCTTGGACCAGCTGCCCAGATGAATTACACAATAGAAACGATAGTAGAAACGATAAGCCACTGTGTTGGGGCCGGCAACAGGACAAGCTATTCGTTCCATCCTGAATGCATGCCAAGCATTGTCAGAGACTGCAGCTCCCCACTCCACTAATACTACAATTCAGCTGAGTGTGGTTGAGCTGACTTCTCTGGTTTGTCGAGCAGACCTCACCTTGTGGACCATTTTAGCGAGACGACCGCGCTGGAATAGACAGCTGAGAAGGATTGACAGCTGAGGAGGTTGCTTTTGTGTACCGATCAAACTTGATAGAGAGCTAGACTAGACTAGAGTGCGAGAAAAGCACGAGGCCCTCCTTCTCAGTGTACAGTATCCATTCTGTATAATTGAATGAATTTCAATCCGACCAGCGCGCGCGCAATTATGTTGGTCCGAAAACAAAAATCCTTGAAAGATTGGTTGTTTGAGGTCAGAATCAACCTGAAGCTCCTGGAAGTTCGAAACTGTACTGCATCTCCATGAACTGCGCATAACTGCACATGCACGCTGCGATCTGCCAGGTCCGCTGTGGAGTTGGTGAACAATGTGAAACACGCCTGAAAAGTTCGTGAAAAGGGATCGCAAGTCTCAACAGCGATCGCCGGGTACAACAGCTTGCCTGTGTGAAATTTGTCCTCCCAACTGGCTCGTCCTTCTCTAAAGGACCTTTGCTCAGGGTTTGCACTACAGGGCTCTGTCTAGTATGGAGGAAAGATGAACACAGGAAGCCATTTACGAGCCCCGATTGCTGGCTATAGATCAGGTGACCAGTACTTCTTCCCACGGTTTGAGTCCTATCCAAAAGCTGGAGTCGGTCCCGTGAAGCTTCTCAAGACTCAAAGGACCAACCGACCGGACATACCAGGTAGACGTCAGAGTTAGCGTGCGAACTGACATAGGAACAAGGACGCTACTAGGAGCAAAGGGCATCGCTACTAGGAGCAAGGCCCTTACTAGTAACAAGAAGCTAGTAGAAACAAGAAGTAGTAAACATATCATAACATCCTTTGTCATATGTTTGATGCATCTGATCATGTTTGATCCGCCCAGAATGTGGACCGTCCATTCGGCTCAGTCGACCAATGCAACTCCGATAGTGTAGATTTCTATCCGTGCTCCGTGCCACAGCGCTTGTAAAGCGACTGTGGTGCGGGCACGTTGCTTGCCTGAGACATCCTGAGACCAGGAGACTGGATTGAGTCTTGAGTCTTGAGTCATTTAATGTTGCGGCGGCACCAAGGCATCCTTTTCGTGTTCCTTTTGAACCTTTGCGAGACTTACATGTGTGGTTGTTCCGGTTCCGGACATCCCTTGCCATAGCGAAGAGTGCAAAGCTTTTGGCCTGGAATGGGCTTGCCTCAGGAGTACCATGGGCATCACCAGCAGTACCTGCCTGAATGAAGATTCACCACAAGTATTTGTAGGTATTAAGATTTAGGACGCTACTAGGAACAAGAAGCTACTAGGGGCTCCTGGCATCGCTACTAGGAGCAAGGACGCTACTAGGGGCTCCTGGCCTTACTACAAGTAACAATGTTCGCTACAGATTTTCTTGCATTGCCTCTTCAGGCCTGGTGGCGGAGATGCCCTGGTGGCTGTTATACAAATCCGTAAACGTATGGAATCTAGACCCTTATAGAGAAGATTTATCACAAGGTCTCACCATGCTTTCAGCTGCTGTATTTGTGTGCAGCACGTAGGGAAAAGGCTACGGAACCCGCCTGAAAATATACTTGATGATAAGGTCATTGCCAATACCTTTTTCCCATTTTGTTTGCAGAACTGCAGACAGTTTCAAAAGCTCCAGCATCCCAAATGGCAGTCAACTTGCCCACGGGCGACTTGCCGTCCCAGCCCATCACAGACGAGTTGGATGAAGCCGAGCTTGAAACAGCTCATGTGGTAGTCATGTCATGCCTGACAGCCACACTTTCCTTTCTTTTCTTGAACCTTGGAACTTGGAAGGCCTTTAGTTCTTTACAGTCTGTTCTTAAAGGATCTCGCAAGCAGCCTCAGCTGCACCAGGAGGCTCCGATTTTGACTGCTTTCCTCTTTGCCAAGGCTTTTGCTGCACAGATCGCAGTGGTACCCGGAGGCCCGAGGGAGTTGTGACGTTGCAAGAAGAAGTCGGTGCAATCTGTCGAGAGTCGGTTCACTCTACTTTGCTGCCGTTCCGCCTTGTGTTTCTGTTCGGGCGCTAGTTATATAATTGTTTTGATAATGCTTCAAGATCTCGATCCCTGCATGTAAAGATGCAGGATGAAGCACACAGGTTGCAGGGCCTTTTCAACATGCGTACTTTAGGTTTGGAGCGCTTGCCAATCCAACGGCCTTTCAAACAAAGATATCTCTTTGGTGGGTACTTTTTGGAGGTGACCAAGTCACACAAGCTGCTCGAACTGCATCAGGAAAAGCCAACCACTCAGCTCATGTTATGTTGACTTCCACAAACCTGCCGATGCCTCAGAGATTTGTCCAGCTTTAAGTCATGAGGGACTTGGCTTGATCCTTCCATTAAGATTGAGCTTGATTAATTATCTGGCAGGAACAGGCTTGACAAAGCCCAGGGTTGTTGATTGCTTATCTATGGACTTTGTTTTCTCAAAAGACCTCGCCTCAACACACTCTATGGGGAACCTGTTTGTTCAGGCTGAAGCGACCCAACAGGGTGGTGCTCAGGCAGGGAGGGCTTCTTCTTCGCGCGAGGTCCCGTGGCGAAGATGTTGTGCTGCAGCTCCCACTGTTGGAACTGCAAGGATCGGAACAAAGCCCCCTATAGAGGTCCATGTGCACTCGATAGTAGAGGTCGAACTGCAATCACAATGAGTGTGTTGAGTCATGAAGGACACATGAAAGACATTTCATTTGACACATATTGTGGACACGAACTCTGCACCGAAAAAGAAAGAGGTCCCCAACCGGCACAGAAGACGTGGGAAAGGTTTTCTCAACAGGTCGGCCTGCAAACCTCGTCGGTGGAAACGGGACACTTCGACTACAGACAGGTCCCTCAAGGGATGGACCTTAACCACTTGACCAAATCGCATGCGGTGAGCGGATGGCTTCTTGCATGACTCAATATTATCAAGTCCTTTTTTTTCCTCTAATAGCTTCTTGTTACTACTAGTAAGGCACTTGTTACTACTAGCGTGGCACTTGTTACTAGTAGTAACAAGAATCCATTGGATGTTTGCTCATATGAGATTGATGGCAAACGAACTTGATGTGAAAGCCATCCACCTTGACGACATATGAGAGGGTTTCGTCAGAAGAAGCCAAACTGGTCTACGCAGCAACGACTTCAGAACGCACTTCCAACAGAAAAGCATTCCTGCACCAGTACCCTTTTTTTGTACCAGGGTTTTGGACGTATTACGAAAGCCAGCCGATAGGCTAGACGGAAGTTCTGTGAGGCGACCGAAGTGAGTATTTAGGGGGTGTGGTGGGTAATTAGTTTAGAAAAGGCAGGTTTTGGAAGGGTGAACAGAGCCTGCTTGGAGAGAGTGAAAAACTGGCGAGTAGTAAAGTCGCATTATGAAGCCCTTTTTGTGATGCGAGTGCAGTGATTGATTCTAGCATCATTATGCATTATTTAGCTATTTGCATCACACACTGGGCTTCACGGCATCTTTTGGGTTGTCTTGGCGAATTGGTCGAGAGCCCTCAAGCCGTTATGATTTGCGGTCTTTTTGTTTCTGCTCGTCGTTCTTCGTCAAGCCATTTTCGTGAAGTCAAGCCATGCACAGATGCGGGTCGAACGTGGTGTCTGAGGGTCGCCTCCGGGCAAAGACAAGGGCACAAACGCAGCAGATTGAGACATGGAAAGACCTTCGGGAGGAGTTTTTGTTGGTGTCCTAGATCGTGTTTGTTTTAGCGGGCTCTGGCGATTTTTTTTGTCTTCTCAGAATGCGCTGGATTCGGAAGTATCATTGTTGGCACCGACACGGAACCTGGGCGCTGACTTACTTTTCTAGGCAAACTTTGTGCTAGAACCTACTTTTTCTGAGGTGCTTATTTTGCCCCGCAACTCTCAAACAAAGCGCAAAAGGGCACAAACCAAAAAAGTCTGACTCTTCGCATTTAGATCCAGCATGTCTTTCCACGCCTGTGTTCACAGTTCATCTCCGGCGGCGGGCAAAACTCCTTCGTTTTACGAGTTTGTCCAACTTGTCCCCCAAGATCGTCAAAATGCAATTCAAGCAGCGGCTTGCAAGATTGAATTCAAATGCTCGAAGATGCATCTGCCATGTTCTGCTTAGTCGAGGATCTTATTGCTGTGGCGCAGCTATCTAAGACCTGCGGTCTGAGACGGTTGGCTTTCGTCCCCTCCCTTCTCAGGTTACAGTTTATTACTATCCTACCTATCCCAGTTGTTGTATTTATTTTTCCAACCCATGCGGTCAATCCATAGTGATGGACCATTGGGTCAAGAGTTGAGGCACGCCTCTTTCGCTTGCTGCCTGTGGTGGGAAACAACTCCAAGGGGCGCAGGTGCCGACCGGAACCATTGTTGTGAGAGACTGGTAGGGTGAGTCTTAGGAGGCACCTTGCTACTAGCGTCCTTGTTCCTAGTAGCGATGGCCTCCAACCTACTTGCGATGGCTTCCACTTAACAGTGTCCTTGCTACTAGTAGGTTTTGAGTCTTCACAAGTACACCTTGTTAACCCAAGAGTATCTGGTCCGTCCTCCCTGATGTTTCGGCTCGGCAACAAAACAGTGTTTAGTGCCCAACTTGGCCAGTTGATGTCACTCATACTCATTCGATTTGCACTTCACCACTTCTTCAAATATGGCCCATACTTTGCAGCCCAAACTGTGGAGCGCACGTTGCCAATGAAGCATAGTTATAGTCGCAGGTTTGTCCAGTTGGCTTGTCACTGGGCAACTGATCAAGAGCCAGAAAAGAGGGTAGTATTATGGGTAGTACCAAGTTGGCTGGTCGGCCACCACTTTAAGACTCCATCGAGGGAAGCCGGGTATCCCAACGACAGAACTGAATGCCCTAGAGCCCTAGAACTTCAGTCTTTCAAAATCTCTTGGGCGGTCACTAACTTCCTGCTATCATTTTTGTCCATCATCTCCTCACTTCCTTCGGATTGCACCGACCATCAAGGCCCCTGGGCAGCGGTGGACCAGAGCCACTTGGCGGGCAGGAACGACGCGTCTCGGTGCCTCGGGTCGACTCGTCGATGACTCGGTGCCGACCGGTCGACTCGTTGTATTTGCGCCATGATTCTGGCTTACATTGGTTACATTATTTTACATTTGTTATATCAACATTTATATTTTTTTGGCATTTGTTAAATTTGTCATTTTCGTTCCACTTGTTACACTTATTCCATATGTTTTATATTTTTCCTTTCGTTGCATTTGCTCCAGGTTAATTTGTTGCACTTGTTACTTTTTTAACCGTATGTTCCATGTTTTCCATGTGTTGCATTAGTTGCATTTGTTACAGTTGTTCCACATGTTCAACATTTTCCATGTGTTGCATCAGTCGCATCAGTTGCACTTGTTGCATGTGTTACATTTGTTACATTTGTCTTTCATTTGTTTTGATTGTTGCACTTGTCAAATTTGTTCTATTTGTTGGAACTGTTTTGTTTGTTATTAATTCATTTGTTACATTTGTTGTATTTGTTACATGTTGTACGATCGTTTCATCTGTGACATTTGCTATTTTTGTTACATTAGTTTCGTTTGTTATGTTCTTGCATTTGTTGCATTTATTGCATTTGTTGGATTTGTTGCATGTGTTGCATTTGTTGCACTTGTTACGTTTGCTACATTTCTGTGCCATTATCGTTGGTTAGGTCTGGGATAAAGGTGATACTCGAGGCTTCTGTTCATTCGACTTGCTCGGTTATTTGTTTACTTTGTTTGAGGGTGATCACCCGTGAACGATGCTGCCATTTTGGCTCAAGAGGCAGAGGGTGATCCCCAGGGTCTGAATTTTTCGTTTTGGTTTGGGCCTGGGAATCATTCTAGGTTTTCTTAGATCGGGCGTGGCTCCTGCAATGTCGTCCAATCCTCTGCCACCATTCGCAAGGCAGCAGGCAATGGCTGCGTCACGGGCTGTTCGACCAGAAGACTCGATCAGTAACGTGAGCGGTCACAGTTGGAGCCATGTTCATCAAGAAGACCTTGAGGCAGATCTGCCACCCGCTGATTTGGAGTTACCCAAGCGGCAGTCAGAGGTGGTCATCGAGAACAAGGTCACGCCTCCTCCTCAAGCAGCTCAGACAAGTGCGACGAGGGCTGATCAGCCAGCCAGTTCATCTGAGCCACAAGCACCAGCACCGCCAGCTCGAGCAGAAGTGGCTCCCAAGGCACCGCCACCTGGGATTCCTCCTCCACCTCCGGTCTTTAGCACCTCAGCCTCAGCTCCTGCCACGCAAGCTGCTCAGAACCTGCTGGCTGGAGTGAATTTGCAATATGGCTCACGGAAGCTCAGAAAGCAGGCTGAGAGGGCAGCTCGGAAAGGGGCGAAGGCCCTGAGGTTTGGACAGCTCGGAGGAGGTCTCCACAATGCATTGTCTTCAGCTCTGCCACCTTACCTGAGCCAGGTTGGCTCAGGTGAGAATGAGAGATCAGTGATCGTGGTGGACTCTCGTGATCAGAGGATCTCAAGCCCGTTTCAGGGCTGGCTGCTCGATGAAATTCTCATCAATGCGCAGGCCGGGGTCAATGTCTTATCAGACGCCAAGCTGCTGCGCAGCCCCTCGACCGGGTACCACATGAGCCTGTTCTATATGAGAACGTTAGAGGGGAAGAAGTTCATCTTGGTCGGCTCGATGACGTCGTACGGATCGGTGCCGTGCGGCAAGTGGGACTCCTTGACCGGAGATGTGATGAGCCACCAGTCGTTCCAACCGTTCAGGTGGCCCATCATGAGGGACGACAGCTCGACGTGGGTTGACGTCAAAGTGAAGATCGAAGGTGGCCTCCTGCTTCACCTCGAACTGCGTGGTTACCGCTCGGATCAGGACATGACGATCCAATTGAACTATACGTGAATGACGCTCTTGTGATGGGCCTCGAGGACGTGTTGTTCATACCGTCATGCGCGGTCACTGTCTTCCAGGGGTGGCGTGTGTGCGCTATCCCGTTCGAGGTTGGTGGCCAGCTCTACGCATGCAGCGAAGGCGGCATCGTCGTGGCCTTGGACTTTCCTTTGTGCCACTTCGAGGTGCGCTTGACCGCGGTGTCCTCGGCTGACTCGTTCGGCCATGACGCAGATCGTTTGGAGTTCCGGTTTTGCTCCTCCCAAGATCGATTGGAAATGAGGTGCTCTACAATCGCAGTTCCTTCGTCATGGCTCGTGGTTTCTCGCTGCTCAGGGCCGACCCTCGTTCGAAACGCCCGCTGGTGTCGTGATCACTATGCACGAGTGGAGAGCCCTGACCAGACCATGCAGATGGGCCAGATCGCAGGGATCCATGCACATTGGACTTCAGGGGTGACTGCTCAGTCCCCTGAAGAGACAGGTGCTCGCATTGGAGCTGTGGACGTGAGTTCGCACCCGGAGAATGTGCGCCTCACCTGCGAGAGCCCTCTGTTCAAGATTTAGAAGAAGAGCGTGCCCAAGGAGGCGATCGCCTTGCAGTATCATGATCCGGCGACCGAGAAGGCCACCATGATCCTGCCGCCCACGATGGGTGCTCCAGCGGTGGCGATTGCTCAATCGAAGTGGCAGCCGATCAGAGATCTGGTTGGCGCAGGAGCTAGCTCGACACCATCGGTTGACAGCGCGAGAGTGGCTCATGTCTTTGACCAATCCGGGGCAGACGCCATCTCAGGGGGCCGCTCAGTCCAGTCAGATGATCTATGCTCCTCGGAGGTCGCTCGAGCACCGGAGGGGTGAATGCATGTCTGAGGCTGCCGTGACACCGCAAGCTTTTGTACAGCAGTCTCGGGCAGTCTTGAGCTCGTATGCCGTTCAGGTCACCCCAAGGGTCAACCGCCCGTCAACTGTGACCATCACGCCCGAACAACCGTCCCCGGGTGTGCCTCAGTCGTTCGGACCGGCAAAGCCCGATGATGAAGGCGAGCTGGTCTGATCATGACCGAGGGAGTTCCAATCCGGTCAAAGTGTGCAGTTCGCACCTGGCAGGGCCAGAACTGGCCATCGTTCCGCTCAGAAGGGAAAGAGATATTTTCTTTTTGAGGATTTATCTTTGCGAACGATGTGAGTTTCTTTTCTCCACATGAGCTCTGTGTTTGATCTTTTCAATTCTTAGGGTTGATGCTGCGCTCGCGGACTCGTTCGAGTGTCGTGCGACCGGAGACTTAGGGGGGTCGCTGGTTTCGATCGTCAGCCACCTCTGGGCCCCTAATGCTTGATCGCGTGACTTGATTCGCACTGCAGGTTCAACCCTCAGAACAGCTCGTCGTGGAAGCTCAGAGTGTTGCGCATGAAGCGATCGCTGCCGGTTCTAACGTATAGCATGATGCCGGTAGCCTTGCTCTAGCCACACTCTGATGCTGTCGGTTTTGCTTGATCAAAGATTAGTTCATTCTGAGTTCATTTCAATTTGACAAGCTCGATTAATGAGACATGAACAGTTCGTGGTCGTATTCGTGAATTATCCGTGTCGGAAAGGCAACAAGGTCATAGGTGAGTTCAGTCTTTTGCATTTCCGGAGCCGTCGCTCGACTACTGTCTCGATTACTGGCGCGCACGCTGGCGAGGCGTGAACCCCAGCGGGGCTCGTTCGAGTTTTTCGATGACAGCTTGCGGAACCTCAGTACCGCGAGAGTGATCATGGCTCAGGGAGTGGATAGGTGGGTTTCGAAAGTGCTCGCGCTTCCAGTGTTTTCACATGATTTCGCGGACGCGCTCGCGGCATCACCACTGGCCAATTTGGCGCTGATCGCATCGATGGAAGTGTCAGCAGGGGCGCAGTTCGTCCAGAAAGTCTCCGATTGGGCCGGAGCGATGGACCCAAAAGTGGCTGCAGCCTTGCTCAAGGAACCGGCCATGCTCGAACAGTTTTGGAGCATTTCTTCGTCGGTCGAGAAAAGCTTTTTCGAATCGACGACCCTCCAACTGGGGTTTGGTTTGTGCGAGCCTGCTCAGGCACACCGGGTTCTTACTGAAGAGTCGACTCTTAGGAAACAGGCAGCCATTCGTGCTCTTGTTCAGAAACCTGTTCGTGACCCCAAGAGGGCAAAGACCACGAGTGATCTTTCGACAGGCTCAACACCGCTCCTGGATCAGGAACAGGCCGAATGACATAGGTGGGGTGCCAAGCTCGAGGAAATCGGGCGCAGGGCTGGCTCATGGGCAAAGCTGTTCGCGAAGACCATTGATGGTGAGGAGCTCTCGGCAGGCGAGTCCGCTCGGCTCCGGCACCTTGTCCTTACGTCAGGGGCGCATCGCACCATGGCTGCACATGTTCGTGCTTGGGAGAGGTTTGAGCTCTGGATCGCATCTAACAACATCCCCATGTTCCCCATGTCGTTGGACAAAGTTTTGAAATATGCTCTATACTTAGATGGTAGAGAGTGTGGTCCCACGGTCATCCCTTCTTTAAGATCGTCAATACGGTGGGTCACAGCGCGGCTCGCGATCGACTGCCCGAATTTGGACGATCCCCTCTTGGTTGCCCTTCAAGCGGGCCAAGTTGCTCAGAGAGGCGGTCCCAATACCCATGGAGGTCATCCGCTGTCTTGAAGTGTTTGTTGCCTCGGAAGCTCCCGCGGCCGCTCGCCTTTTCGTTTGGTGGTGGTTGTGTTTGGTTTTCGCGTCGCTCTGCTTCGATGATGGAGTTCATGTGAAACCGGCCGAGCTCCGGCTGCTCAGCGATGGCCTCTTTGGGATGTCTTGGCAGACGAAAGTCGAGCGCAAGCGCCGTGGGACCAAGTTCGTGATTCCGAGAGTCGGTTTTTCCGGGGTTGAGTGGTTGGAGGAGGGATGGTCTTTGTTGTTGTCCGAACCGCTTGATCGTGATTTTTGGATCTTTGATTTGAATTCACGTTCAGAATTCCGCCCCCAACCACCGGACTACCACCGCTCGGTACAGTGGCTGAAAGTGCTGGCCAGAGATGCCTTAGATCGGTTCACAAAGAGCTCACCCGAAGAGGCGAAAGCTCATGCCGTTCAGATCAATAAGCTCTCTGCCCACTCAGCTCGAG